TCTCTCTCTCTCTCTCTCTCTCTCTTTTTTTGAGAAATTTGTTGCCAATCTAATTCTGTGTCCTATGAATGCTAAAGATGTCCTGTGTTGTTTTATTTATTCTTTTTATTGGTTTTATGGTTCTTTTGGGTGGTTTGACAAGGGGGTGATTTGAATTAGGAGACTGTAAGTGTTCTCCCAACATGAAAGTACGCACTGGCCAGGCAGTGGTGGCACACACCCAGCACTTGGGAGGCAGAGGCAGGTGGATTTCTGAGTTCGAGGCCAGCCTGGTCTACAGAGTGAGTTCCAGGACAGCCAGGGCTACACAGAGAAACCCTGTCTCGAAAAAAAAAAAAAAAAAAGGAAAGTCCTCACTAATCATGTTAAAATGTATTTTTTTCTATCTACATTTTACAGCTTTAAAGAGAGCCTAATGAAACTTGTTAGAGTTCTTTACCTTTCATGCTATAATTATTTAATTCTAAAATGCAGCTTAAAAAAATAAGGTTACATAAACATGAAACTTACCCTTTCTCATTGTAATATGACATGAAATGTCTTCATTCATCCCAAAAATACCTCTTGTGTATTTATGATGTGGTGGGTTTGATGTATAAAGATAGTATGACCTTGAAGATTTGAAATAGTTCACTAGTTTTTAAAAGACTTTAATTTTTATGTGTATAAATGTTTTGTCTGTGTAATGGTTTGTATATGCTTGGCCCAGGGAGTGGCACTGTTAGGAGGTGTGGCCTTGCTGGAGTAGTTGTGGCCCTGATGGAGTAGGTGTATCACAGTGGGTGTGGTCTTTAATACCCTTGTCCTAGCTGCCTGGAGGCCATTAGTCTTATAGCAGCCTTCAGATGAAGATGTAGAACTCTCAGCATCTCCTGTACCAAGCCTTTCTAGATGCTGCCATGCTCCCACCTCATGATAATGGACTGAACCTCTGAACCTATAAGCTAGCCCCAATTAAATGTTGTCCTTTATAAGAGTTGCCTTGGTCATGGTGTCTGATCACAGCAGTAAAACCCTAGCTAAGACAGTCTGCATATATGTATATGTACCACTTGACATTGCCTGGTGCCCACAGAGGCCAGAGGAAGGCACGAGAGTCTTTGGGACTAGAGTTTGATGGTTATGAGCCTCCATGTAGGTGCTGGGACCCGAACTCTGGTCCTCTGTAAGAGCTGCAAGTAATTTTAACCACTGTCCAGTCCCCCGCCCCCACCACATTCTCTTATTATGTCTAAAGTTGCTTGAGTTACTTCTTTGTGCACTGTATTTGTCATAGGTGATGAAACACATAATTTCAGTAATTTTAAAGCTGTAGGCACAATAGAGCTGTAGTTACCTAGTTATAGACTACAAATATAAGCCACTAAAGCAGAGGTTTGTAATACCATCTGCAGTGAGAGCTGAGGGTATGCTGCTGATAAAGTGGTTGTAGAGAGTGTGGGAGGCTCTGGCTTTCAGTTCTCAGTAATACACACACACACACACACACACACACACACACACACACACAGAGGGAGAGGGAGAGACAGACATAGACACACATACACCAGTATATCTAAAAATGTACCAGTGACTATATAAATTTACTAAAATTCATTTTGCAAAAATGACCTTGTTATCTAATTTTATAACCTGTGTGTGTCAGAGAGAGAGGGGGGGGAGAGAGAATTTATATTTTATTTCATACATGTAATATCTGAGTACTTCGAATTTAAAAAAAGCTGAGCGATTGGATTTGAATTTGTGACTGATACAGGCTTCTGGAGATGAGAGTACTCAAGCCTGAGAAAATAGAGTAGTTTAGAACGTTCTTTTGAAAAGTACTGTGTTTTAAGAGCTTTTTAGGTTTGTATGTTTTAAGAGCTTTTTAGGTTTGTGTGTGCCAGAGGGCCACTACTGGGTAGCAGATAGCTTTCTAGCCTGTGTGGTAGTAAACTATGCATTTCATCTTTTGTGTAACTGTGTGAGCATATGAATCTCAGGAGATAGATGGATAATGTGACAAGAGGCCCTAGGTCACTGCTGTCTGCTAAGTTCACTGACCCACCCCACCTTGGCTTTGTTCTTCTGCAGATAAACCCTTAGTGAGGTGCCGACTTTACCCCTCAGCCTGTGCACCCTCTTAGGAGACCTCACTTGTATCCTTGTTCTTGTCTGCTGACCCACTGACCCACTCCCTATGCTGTTTTCAGTCTTTCTTCTTTACTGTTACTTTGTGTAGTAATTCTGCTGTATCTGACTACATAGTTCTAGCTTTAGTCTTTGCCCCAAGCTCTGATTTCTCATGTTTAAAGAAAGTACTTTCAACTCTTCAGGAAAGGCTGCTGAATTTTATCAGATATTTATGAATCTATTGTGATCATGAGCTCTTTTAGTCAGTTGACATAATTCAATGTGTCAGTGGGTTTGCTTGATGCTGGCAGGAAGATCCCTTGGAGCTGGAGTCAGAGGCAGTTGTGAGCTGCCTGACATGGGTGTTGGAACCCAACTCAAGTCCTGAAAGAGTAGCAAATGCTCTTAACCCCTGAGCCATCTCTCTAGTTTCTCATCTTAGTTTTGAAATCAGGTCTCTCATGGAGCTTATGGATTTGGCTAGGCTGGCAGACCAGTAAGCTCCAGGATCCTCCCTGTCTCTGCCGCCCTGGTGCTGTCATTACAGGCACAAGCCTCTCCCCTGCCTCTATGTAGGTGTGTGGTTCTCATGCTTATGTTCAAACACTTTTCCAACTGACCATTTCCCCAGCCCCGGTTAGGATTTTCTTTGTGAGAAAGACGTGTAACTTGAAGAAAGTATAAACAAATTGTTTTTAATACATTCCTTTGTAAATAATAAAAACAAGCCTGTTCTTGGTTAGATAGGTACTTGATTTGTTCATAAATGTGGACTCCCTCCTTAAGTTTATCATTGCTTCATTGACTCTCAGTCTCTTTCATATGTTTCTGTCAGATTCTGGCCATTAACCGAGGAGAGAATTTGAAGATACTGACAGTCAAGGTCAACATTGCTGATGGAGTGAAGAATGAATTCTGTCGGTGGTGTATACAAAACAGGTCTGTTTATTGGCTATCCATAAAATTTGTTTTCTAAAACACCGATTGATGTTATTGCATATTGATATGGAAAGATGTATATTATGTTAAAAAGCAAGTGACAATGTTATTATTCCCTTTTTACATTAAAAACTTAAGTATGGGGCTCAGTCAGTGAGAGCACTTGTTGTCTGAGTTTGATCCCTAGTAGGAGATTACCAACTCCCAAAAGTCTAATAAGTTAATATTTTTTTAAAAAGTATGCTTGAGACATATAACTAAATAGAAAATGTCTCTGAAGGGGACAAGAGATTATTAGTGATGACTGACTGTGAGAAGAAGGCGTTTACTTCAGTGCAGTCATGTGCTTTATAAACTGGTTATTGACAAAGCATGTATATATATGATTGTGCTTTTATAATTATTATGGATTTGAAAAAATCCTATTACTTATTGAACACAAAACTAAAAGAGCAAGAAGAGAAAGGTAACTGCAAGAAAAGAAAAAGAACTCCCAAGAGAATTCATAGTGAATGCTGCTTTAGTTGCTTGGGTAGACCTTAGTGGGCATCTCAGGAAGTCTGAAAGCATGAGCCCCTGTTCCAATGGGTTTTATGTAATGGAGCAAAATATCCATGCCTATCTGCTTCCAAGGAAAGCTGTTATGTAAAAAAGAACAAACCAAGCAAAGATCCTGACATATTTCAGCAAAGGGAATCACTCCCACAAGGACAGCCCTGGGTAGGCTCTTGGGAAGTCATTTAGGGAGGTCTTGTTATTGTAGGATGACAGGTGGCAGTTGCTCACATCTTAGAGCTGCTGAAGACCCTTCTCTGATGAGGTGCAGAAGCAGCAAAGCTGACAGTCCTAACTAATAAGTGAGGTTTTACAAAAAAAACTAAACTGGAAAAATTTATGAATTTTCGTGGAGCTTAAGTGAACAGTATTCAAAGTCTTGAGTAACATCAACAGCAATGCCAGTACTTGGTGCTCACTGATTCACAGAGACCTTCCTGCTCTGTGTAAGCAAGAACCCTGCACAAACACACTCATCTCTAGACTATGCTTCTGCTGTGCACCTGCTCTGTGTTTATGTATGCTTAGGTCTATAAATGCCATTTTGTTCTACTTGATGCAGTATTTAGTGTAGTGACAAACTGTACAGTTTCACAGTCTGGAAGCAGTAGCCTATCCATATAGGCTTACATAGGGACATCTGTGAGTTGTGCACAATGAGATCATCACTTAATATATTCTTTAGAACCAATTTGTACTATCAACTAATATAATGAAGTACTGTCCTATGCCATAGTCTTTAAAACATGTTTTTCTTGTGAAAAAAACAAATTAACAAAAATGTCACTTATATACATTATATCTGATGTTTTACTTGCAAAAATTGAAGCTTAGTGCTTCAATTAAACTTCTCATCTGTTAAGATAACCTTTGAAGATACCAACATATGATTGTATAATTCTTTTACTTTAAATGTTGCAGGATGTATGTGAGTCTTACAACAGTCAATTTAATTGCTACAACAGATTCTGTAGCTACCATTTGATTGAGAAAGCCAATCAATGAAAGGACATAAAGTGACTCACATTGCTGTTGCTGTGGATTTTGTATATATGCTTAATAACTAGTCTCCTTGGGAGAGCTTGCTGGGAAATTTACTTGAAAAGTTAGATGATGTTCTTTAGGAATTAGCACTCTCCTCCAACATCTTTCTTATGTAAGTTCACTGGAAGCCAGTTTGCTTAAAGCCAGTTCTTCCAAGGATTAGCTTGTTGAATCTTGAAATAACACTAAGAAGGCAGCATCACATAAAATAGGATTCTATGTTAGTCAGTAGGTAAGTTGCTTTAGCAGTTATGCTGTTCTCATACAACAGCATCCTGCGCAGCTATTTTGAGAGCACTGAGATGAAACTAAAAGTTGAGATAAAGTTTAAAAGACAGTTTGTTAGCACTCAGGAGGATGAGGCTGAGGACTGTGAGTTTGTGGCCAGCCTGGACTATGTAGTGAGACCTTGTCTCAAAAGTAGAACAAAACCAAACGAATTATAATGCCCAAAAAAACTCCCAAGATATCTGTCTTACGGTTTCATTGCTGTGAAGAGACAGCACGACCAAGGCAACTCTTGTAAAGGAAAACGTTTCATTGAGGCTGGCTTACAGTTCAGAGGTTCAGTCTATTAACATTTTAGCAGAAAGCATGGCAGCCTGCAGGCAGACATGGTTGGTGCTGGAGTAGCCAAGCAGCATCTTGATCTGTAGGCAGCCAGGAGAAGACTGTCTTCACAAGCAGCCAGGCGTCTCTGACAGAGCTTGAGGAAACATCAAAGTCCACCTTCATAGTGACAAACTTCCTCCAACAAGGCCACACCTACTCCAAATAAGACCATACCTTTTGATAGTGCCTATGGCTAAGCATTCACACACATGACTCTCTAGGGGCCAAACCTATTCAAACTCCCACCAAATACAAAGATGATTTCTAGTAGCCATCATAGGCCCTCATTGGTGATGAGTCATTTACTTATGTGCGTAGAAGGAAATATCTAAAAAGGTTATAGTTTAGTCGTTAGCTCTGGTATGACATTTCTAATTTCTGTTTTATGCTTTCTGTGTAATTGTAATTTTTATTTTTTAAAGAATGTATTCTATTTGATGATAATTTCATATATTTATATAATTTATTTTGATCATACCCACCCATCATTGTCTTCTTTCAGCTCCCTCTAAGTGTGCTGTATTCCATCTCCCTCCCAATTTCATTACCTCCTTTTTCTGTTATTGTTATTAGTAACCCTCTGAGGCATATTTGTGCTTCTCATATGAACATAGGTGTGGGACCATCCACTAGTGTCTGGACAGCCTACCAGTGACATCCTCAAAGGCGGGTGACTCCCTCTTCCTTATAACCATCAGCCTCCAATAGCTCCTCCAAGGTTGGGGCCCATCCTCCTTTCATGCTAGAATTGTGGCTGGCTTGGTTTTGTGCAGTGACCACAGTGATGGGAGATGATGTGTATCAGCCATGGCATGTCCAGAGGTCAGCATTTCCCAGGTCCCAGATCCCGGATCCCAGCTCTTACTCATCTCTCTGACCACTTTGCTGTTATGTTCTCTGCGCCTTGAATGGGGGTGAGAACACAGCCACTGCAAAAAAAAAATATCTCTGACCAAAGTTGGGAGCAACACCTGAGTGAACAAACAAAAGTTTTAAAGGACGTTTAATATCATAGCTGTTTAATATACTAGCATTAGGCTCTTCTCCAAAATCTCTGACCTCCTTAGTCATAGAGTTTTGATCCAGACATGAAAGATTTTGTTATGATGTGTTTTCATTTTCATTTGATGCTAGGAATCTTTTTATTTCCTTTTTGATTTCTTGTATTTTGATTTCACTTATTCAGTAGTACGTTGTTTAATCTTTAGGAGTCTGTATCCTTTCTGTAGTTTCTGTTGCTGTTGATAGGTAACCTCATTTGATTGTTGTCAGGTGGAATACAGTTATTTTGGTTTTCCTGTATTAGAGAATTGTTTTTGTTCTACTTAACAGGGCCAGTTTTGGAGATCACATTTACTGCAGAAGAGAGTTATTTAGAAAGAATCAAGTATAGAGGCAAGAGATGATGGTAGTTTTGACTCAGGGACTAGTGGTGGGAAATTGTAGATGGATTTGTGCACTCTGCAGGAGGCAGAATTTAGACAGTATCTGATTAAATGACTGATGGGATTGGCTGGGCAGAGTTGACACATTTGTATGACTTGAAGAAGCTAGATGATGACACTCTTTACCGTCACAAGATAAAAATGTTGAGTACTATATAATTAACTATGGTATAAATGGGTTAACTGAGATCTTGTTATTAAGTTAATTACAATAGCAAGGATTCAATGTGTATTAAAAATGGTATGTAAGTCTAGGTCTAGCAGTGGACATGTGCTTCTTGGTCACAAGGATAGAGTTGAAGAGGACCTGAGTTCGTCTGGCGCTCTAAGAGTCCAGTAATCCAAATTCCAGTGTTTGCTCTTTAAATAAGAACATGTGTGAGGGAATGCTCTTAGCACATCCCACTTTTGACTTGGATTGTATTGCAGCAGTTTCTGAGTTTGCAGGGTTGTGTGTCTGCCTTGTGGAGTTGATTTCTAATGTCTGAACTGTACTACTCTTTGTTGTGTAAGAACAAGTTTAAGAGAAACCATCTCCTGTAGCCAGTTATATAAATGTAGAGCCATGAAGGCTAGCTGAAGAGAGCTTACCATTGTCTTACCTACAAGAAGTAAGGAAAACGTATTTCTTTGCCAGAGTGGAGGCTATTTCTCTAGACAATGGCTGAACAAAGAATTTTCTTGTCAAAAATATGCAGTTTGGGGCATGGACCTTGTCAGTTATTGCCAGTCTTTCCTGCCTGGACCTGTGGGCTTTGAAGTCTTATGATTCCTGTTTTCATTATAGACTTTATTGAATGCATCTCTTATAGGGAGTATTTCATATTGTGAAATTTGGGGTTAGTGAAGTCATACAAAGGTTTTTCAGAGGTATATACCTGTTGCATTACAAGAAGTTACATTGAAATGGCAGCCTATAATCAAACATATTACATTGTCATAAGGGATATGACTATGAGTTCCCCATGCTTTTTCAGGACCTTCGTTTGCTAAGTGCTGCAATTAGAACCCAGGAAGACAGTAAAGGGGTAGAAGTGTTGTAGAAGGAATTAAAAGGAGTTTGTACAGTGCTGTTCTCTGTAGGACTGAGCCTGGTGAGGTGATCAGGTGTAAACAATGTGATGTGTATATATAATATAAACATACCCACAATTTCTTCACAGGGAGAAGAACAGAGTGCTCTAAGCTATGGGAGAACCTTATGGCTTAAAAGTTCTACCAGGAGTGCAGCTTTAAGAAGACAGATAATAATTTCTAGCTTTTTTAAAAACAGTGATGAAACTTTGGAGCTCAAAGAGAAACCACACTAGTAGACAGCAGACATTGGATGTATACATTAAAAATGATACCATTCCATTAGACTTCTAGTGTCTTAAGCACTGTTTTCCTGGCATGTTATCTCATGACCCAGAACCATGTTCTCCCAACTAGCCAACCTCCATTGTGTGACATATGAGACCTTTCATGAGTTGGGCACTGCCATATTTTTAGTCTTATCTTTCTAAATTGATGTTGCCACTTGGATGCCTTAGCACTATGAACCTTTGTGTGTGTAGTTAAAGCCGCATGGCTTAGATCTTGCTTATAGCCAGAACACTGTACTGCTCTCATCCATGCTTTGTGTGTTTTATATGTTTGTCATTTTAGATTTCTGTTTTATTTTTTATTTTTTATGGTATATTTCAAATATGTGTTTATTTTGTTTTGGGACAGGATCCCATATAGTCCAGGTGGGCTCACTATGTCACTGAGACTACTCTTAAACTGATCTTCTTGCCCCAAAGCTCCCAAGTGCTGGGATAGCAAGTATATACCACTATACCTTGGTAAACCATTTGTCTCCTTGAAAGCAGTGTGCTGCTGCACGTTGTATCACAGTGACCAAAACATGCAGCAGAAACAACTGAAGACAGGAATGGCTTATTTGGGATCTGGTTCCATCAATCAGGATCGAACCGTCTCATATGATGGCCAGGGAGCATTAGCTAGTCTCACAGCCTCAGACCAGGACATGGTGAGAGTAGGCAAGGAGCAGGGGAAGGTGCAGAGGTCCAGATTCTACCAAGTGACCCCTTTCTCCAGCCAGGCCCTACTTTCTGAAGGTTCTACACCCTGCAAAGTCGTGCACAAACTTGGGAGACAAAAGTGCTTGAGACATAAGTCTGTTGGGAACATTCTAGGTTTAAATAACACAGGGCTTGCATGTCTAATTCTAGTTCACGTCCCACCTCTCCTGTAGGGAGGACTTTAGGGAGTAAAAGAGATTTGGGTGGAAGGAATGGTGTATTATATGTCTTGCCTAAAAGCATATTTGTTTCAACTGGAAAATAAAAATATACATTGCTGACCTAACGTCCTTTGGAAGGGATTCAGTTATTTGCTATTGTGTGATCTTTAATGTGTCTCTACTGAAGCTTCATTTTCATAAGCCTAAGTTATGGAAAAGAGCTTATCTTAGGTATATCAGTTGTATTACAAACTGTTTTGTTAATGGCTTCTATTGAAGAGGGCACTGAAGAGCGAGGGCAGACATGCTGGGTGTGAGTGGAAATCTGGAGCCTGGGAGCTGGGTCTGTTCCTGATAGCTCCTATTGTCTTTTCTTTTTTCCTTTTCTTTTTCCTTTCTTTGCCTTCCCTTCCCTTTCCTTCTCTTTCCTTTCTCCCGTATCTAGTTGACTCTGTTCAGCATGCTTACATGCTGCTGGGCAGGCAGTGTGGCCTGGGCAAGAGACCAGGTTCTTCTTGCCAGTGCTCAGATGAGATTCCAAAATGGTGCCAAGAAGTTGAAGATGCTCTCCTTTCCCTATAGAATTGGGTTAACTTTGGTTTTATGAGTTTTGAACTAAAGCAACTAAGATTTTTTTGAAAGTATTTCAGCAGGTTCTGCTGCAGTTTTTTTTTTAAAAAATCTTGTTTATTTTTAAATTGTGTCAAACATTTGGACAGCACTCCCCACTGTTTCTCTCATTTGAGGGTATATGGGGTGGGGAAGAAGAGAGTGAGAACCATTAGACATAATATAACATAAACCCTACTGTTGGTGACACAAACATCCTGACCAATGTGTCTCATGATAAATGTATAAGGAGAATATGTAAGGGTGGGTGGGATTAAGAGCTCAAAAGTGGGTGAGAATGGGGATTCACTTACAATGAGAGAGAACCTAACTGAAGCATATTGGATTTTTTTTAAGTTTTAGATTTAAGTCAGAGTTTGCTACCAAGAAAAAGAGTTGCTAGAAACAAGGTTTGACAGGTTCTCTTCTGTATAGTCTCTGTTGACTCTTCATAGATGCAATAAGGAAGTGGGAAAAGCTGTCCCACTTCCTTAGATATATGACACTATAGACTGAGTGAGCATCAAAAACTTTTTCACAGTCTTAGAGATGGGGGAGTAGAAGATGCTTGTCACTCTGTCATGTCACAGAGAGTATAGGGAGACAGCAGGCTCTACTGTATGACTTTCTCTAGTGCAGATGCTCTCCAAAGCCCCTTTTTTATAGATGCCGCCCTCACATGAGAGGCTAGGGCTTCCACGAGTGGATTTGAGGAAGGTGGTGCTGATAAGGATGTTTTGCTGTCTGTGAGATGTCTTAGGAGTTTAACCTTTACTAGTAATCCTATGGAGAGGACAGTCACAGCACGTATAGTTTGTATAGTGAATTCTAGGTTCTGGAGGGGGAGGTTAGGGAGACAGAGAGGGAGGGAGTCACAGAGAGAGAGACAGAGAAAAATAGAGAAATAGCGAAAGACCTTCTTACCTTGTTTCAAAAAACCAAAACAGAAACCTCTAAATGACAATCTCCTCCTCAAAATCTCCCCTCCACATGTCACGTAATCCGTTTCAGACACCACAGCCTCAGGGCGGCCCCTCCTTCTAGATTCTGTTACAATGGTTTCCATATAGGCTCTCCTGCTCCTCGGCTCCCCTCTTCCAGATGTCCTTTCCTGCTCTCTGTCACTTCAGTTTTGTCTTGAATTTTTCCTTCTTGTAGGTGGAGGCCACATGGCTTCGCACGGCCAGAGTTAATGAAGATCTTACATAATTCACTGGATGACTCCTTTAAACGCCTCATTGTTCCTCTCCTCTGTAGAGAGTTCAGGTATGTCTCTCGTTTAATTTTGTGTGCTGTTTAACATAATGTATAGCCTTCAAGGAGTACAGAGTAAATGATTGTTAATTTGAACCAAGCCAGAGAACTTGTTCTTCAGACCAGGTCTTCAGTGTGAGTCTTGGTTTTAATCTGTAGATTTATTCTCATGCAGAGATCTAACAGTATTCTTCTTAATTGTGATACACTTTAGTCCTGAATGCTTAGTGTTTATACCCCTTCCAGTTCTACATTGCTGATGTTTCAGTTTGACAATCAAGCCAAACATGATTTTATTGATTCGAGATTTGACTTGGAAAACCAAACTGAGAAGTTAATGGGGAGGTTACTTGGAAGCGTTTCCTGGAGGTAATAGAGCCAAGGAAAGCATAAGGAGCTTGATGAGGAACGAGACGTTCTTACTGCTCTGAGGAGGGAAAGCAATTATATGTGTTCATCTCCCACTGGGAGTTTCTGGATGCGCAACGGCGAGCACGGATGAGGAGGTGATTGAAAGAACCATACCTGTAGGCTCCGAGGAGTTCTGTGAGGTGCAGATGTGCTTAGGCAGGGAGAATGAAAGAGTCTCACAGCAGCAGAACCCTGCTCTCTCTTGATTTTCGCTAGCTGTTGTCTTGGTTGTTAAGTTCCAGCAACCAGCATGGTTTCATGCAGTCCTTCATGTGGACTGTGGACCAGCACATCCTCCCCCTCACTTTTCCAGGCGGCCTGGGAGTGGAGGGACTGCACGTGTCTGCTCAGCTCACTAGGAGTTCTAGCTGACTGGAAGCGTCCAGAGTAGGACTGAACATTATAAAGATGAGGTGCGCCATCGCTCTATTTCTGTTGTTCCATGCCACACTGTCTGGTTTCATCCTTTGTGGCCTAGATGGTCTCCACTGATACTGTTGTGTTTGAAATTCCGGATCATTGTCCATGTGAGCTAATGTCTCTTGCTTTCCATGCTGTGGCATGAACTTGTGGGGTTTGTTCCTTTACTTATTCATTTATTTGTGTGCGTGCAGGCGTCTGTGTATGTGTCTGTATGTGTGTGAGTGTATATACATGTACATAGATGGTGCAGGTGCTTGTGTGCAGAGGCAAGAAGAGGGTACTGGGTGTCCTCTGTCATCTGTACCTACTCTTTTGAAGTGGAGGTCCTTCCCTCAACCTGTGGCTTGTGTCTGAGCTAGGCTGGACACCAGCAAGTCTTACACTTGTCTATACCCTGCTTGGAGCTGGGTGACAAACATTGTCAGGATACCTATCTTGTTATGTGGGTACTAGGATCCAAACTTTAGTTGTCATGATTATGTAGCAAGTGAACTATTGGGGCCCATCCATTCCGGGGAAAATAATCTTATGTAAAATTTCAATGTGGTACTTTTTTTTCTTTCCTTGATTTTTTTCGTGTTGCGTTCAGCATCCAGTGGTATTTTTATATTTGGTTTTATAGCATGTGGAATGATTTCATTGCTACTAAGGCGTGTGGTATGGGAGTCTGTAGGACACAGTCCTTTTTTGATTTGCATTGTGGGTAAGCAAGAACATGTTCTTTTTTTAAATTGCCCAAGGTAGAACAGCAAAGCTCATTTCTGTTCGTCATTAGTCTACAGGCATTGCCCAGAGCTGGCGCTTCTTAGAAATGCTTATCTGAGCAGATGCTGAAGAGGGCAGTCAGATGGCTTTACCAGTGTTTTGAAGAAAAATATTTTGTTTCTTTAATTCTGAAGAAATTTATGCTAAGGATAGAAAATTTGATTCCTAGGGTTTTTGTTTGTTTGCTTTCTTTTTTATTGATACTTCACTTTTGGGCTCAGCTATGGTCACAGGTGCATACCATCTGTCGACATGCTGGGCTTTTCCCGTGGCTGCTGCGGACCTGAGCTCGGACCCTTCTGTGGGCTCAGCAGCTCGTTTATCTTAGGAGCTATCTGGCTGCCCAACATGACGTTTTAAAATCCCATCCCATCATTTCACAGTAGTCTACTTACAAGCATCCCTGTGGTCTTGGGGCTGTTCAGAAGAGTCCGATGACTGGGTGGATGGGCTTCATCTGTCTCCTCATCCTCGATGGCCATGTCATTTCTTTTTTTCTTAGCCTATGAAATCACTTTCTATTTCTCAGGAGACTGTGTGCTCTCCTTGTGTGCAGTGTCTCCTCCAGGTTACAGTCCCCTACTGTCCCCACCTCTGTTGTGTGTCCCTTATATTTCCAATCTTGTTCACCTGAGCTGCTTCTGGCATAGGTTCCTCCTGAGTTAGCGTTCCTCATTGCTGTAGTCTGCTCTGTCTATCATTCTGCTTTTTCTATCATGGTGATCTTCTGGGAAGGGTGTGGTCTTTCAGCTTTGTGTCTCTTAAACCAATCTTGATAAGACTACCAACCAATGACTTCATAATATAATGAAGTTCAAAATAAATATTTAGAAATACTTGTGATGATATTTGTATCTTGTTTTGCAGAAGTCAAAGAATTACAATGAAACGTTAGAGAAGATGAGAGAAAATCCTTACCAAATGAAGCAGAGAAACAGACAGTAGTGTTCTGTGCATCTTCACACATGTCTAGTTAACCCTCCTCACACAGACATTTTGAATTGCTTTATATTAAGTTTTCTCGTGGCCAATGGCGTTGATTTCCTATTTGGTCTAATAGAGAAGAAAGACTTCCTATGACACAGTTCTTAAGAATTTCAAGAGATGATACGTTGAGGGCTTCAAGGTTCCAGCTGCCTTTTTAAGCTCACAGTTGACTTACATTTTTATTCTACAAGGTTTTAAAAGTACACTCCTAACAGTGTCTCAATAAAACAGAGGCACGCTTACATGAGGCCTTAAGAACTGTGGCCTTGCCGGATGCCTGGGAACGACAGGGAGGAGACGAGACGCAGATGTGGAGAGGATTGCAGACAAAGGCAGTGAGAGTACTGAACTCAATAACACTGGAGGAGGCTGCTGGGCCGCACGCCTTGTCATTCTTGTTTGTGGTTTATGTATGTAACTATCTGCTAAGCTCTAATTGACTTGCAAATCTTCAAGGCTCTTTCTCATGTATATACATATTTAACTTATGACTTGTATCTACGAGTAGTTACAGAAGATAGGCATGAAGACTTAGTTTGCTTTGGAATTGTTTGTAGTGTCATATTTATGTGGTTATCAAAAGTAGTCACAATGTAACTCAGGAACAGGGTATTTGATCCTTGAGGATTGACTATACAAAATAAATTCTGCCCTTTTTCTGAAAAGAAAATTTGGATGAATGAAAATCTAAGTACTTTTTGTGTTGTCCCCCTCCCCTCCATTTCTAAAGAGCCAAACTGACATCAGATGCAGAGAAACAATCAGTAATGATGTTTGGACAGAATCTCCGCCAGCTTCTTTTAACAAGTCCGGTACCAGGCCGTACCCTGATGGGAGTAGATCCTGGCTACAAACATGGATGCAAACTAGCCATTGTTTCTCCTACTAGTAAGTTCCTCAACTTTGCATATGAGAGCTTTTTGGTTGATCCTAAGTTCCACTTCATAGATATCATGAAGATTTGGAAATAATGTTTGTTTTTGTGGTTTAGAAATTGTTTTCTCATGGGCTGTGGGAATCAGAGGATTTCCTGTATTTCTGGTCAGAACTCTTATGAATCTGTCCCCCTCTCTCCATTAACTAAGGGTCAGGCTTGAACAACTTGTTTCCTCTTTCCTTCTTTTCTGTTTTTCTTCTCTCTCCTCTCCCTCTCCCTCTACCCCTCTCTCCCTTTCTTTCTTGACACAGTTTCATATAGCCCAGGCTACCTTTGAATTCTCTTGGTGGCTAAGAAGAACACTGAACTCATGATCCTTCTGCTCCTCCTGAATGCTGGCCCTGCAGGCATGTGTTACTACATCTGTGTATGTGGTACTGGCCTTCAAGCCCAGACAAGCACTCTCCAACTGAGCTCTATAGAACCAAACCCCACCCAGCTGCCGAGACTTGTAGCTCTTATCAATATCAACTCTTTATGGTGTATTCTGATTTTTATACATTTTAAGTATCAGATATTTTGCAGCTGTGAATTTTCAGTTAGTACAGTTTTCCTGTCCCCTGTAGTTAGCCTTCCTGACTCCTTTCCTCATTTTTGTGTTCATGTCTGAGAAATCTTCATGTCTGAAAAGTTCATGCTACTACTGTTCTCTTCTTTTTTGAGTCAGAGTTTCTCTGTGTAGCCCCAGTTGTCCTGGAACTAACTCTGTAGCCCAGGATGGCCTGAATTCACACAGATCCTCTGCCTCTGCCATCCGAGTGCTGGAAGTTAGTTAATGAAATGTTGTCTCAGTTTTTGTCTGAAAAAGCTGCTTTTGTTTTCATTTTTGAAGGTTATTTTCGTGGGTAGATTGGTTAATCAGTAGTGACTTAAAGATTGTCCCATTGTTTTTAGTTTTACTTTTTGGCTGATAGCTTTTTTTTCTCTGTAATTAGTCTAGAGACTTATAGGCGTTTTTTTTAAAAAGCAACGTTCTCTTCTTTCTGGTGCCAAAATTTTCTGTGTTTCAAAGTTTTCATATGATATATTTAACACTGCATGTGTCAGCATGAATTCCATTTCGGAATGTCATTATTATATCTCTCATTCTCTTCTTTTCTTTTTCAGTGTTTTACTTTATTTTCTACTGATTAGTAATCCTCTAGTCTTCCCTAAGTTGTTATTCAATCCATCTGTTTCAGTCTCTTTATGTAATTTTTTTATGGTTTTAGAATTTCTTTTTGATATATAGTTATACATGATAATTCTCTGGTAAGCATCTTCACTTTATTTTGTCATATTGGATATCTCTTTGTTTTGCTTCTTTGAGGACGTCTATTCTCTGTTCCTCTGCTGGGTTTTCATCTCTGGAGGGCTGTCTCCTCTCATGCTGTCCTGCGCAGGCCCATGCTGCCCTCCTCCTTATTGTCTCAGAGTTGGTACATGTGCTGCTGAATCCAGACATGTTTTCTCTTCCATATGAAATAAATTCTTGCTATTTCATTCATGTGGTTTTATGATTCTGATGTATGTTAGCTTCATAGCTTATATAATATTCTCTTTTTTAAAAAAATCTCATTTTCATATATCTTGTTCTGTTTTGTGGGCATACTATGGACTTTTATTTTCTGCCATAAGAAAAAAAATCTTTCTGTGTACAGTTTGTCCATCATCCTCTTGCTTTGCTTAGGATATGTTTCTAATACTTTCAAGAAGGTGAGTTGGGTCAGGACAGGCTTCTCACTGTGTAAAAGTCACTTTGTCTTATGTTTTCTGGTTATTAACACGTCAGATGTAGCTGGCTGATGGTTTTTGGTTGGGCTGTCTGTTGCTTTCTCCTCTTTAGTTTGGGTTCTTTCCTTTGCTCATTCTGTCCTTGCCTTGCTCAGTTTAGATAGAACCCTGGCTCTTTCTTTCCACCCTTATAATTGGTCTTCTTTGTTCTGGGAGTCCATGAGGATCAGTTTTTCAGTCTTCAGAAGGTCACTGGGCAGCCTTTATCCAGGTGGGTGCCAGTGTCAGCTCCTCAGACTGACTCTTGTGTTCCTCAGGGTAGGAACTCTTCTCTTGGGCCATCAGCTCTGCCCTGCCCCTCAGATGCCCCCTACAGAGGTCCTGTGCTGTGTTGTGCCTGTCCCAGACACTTGGTGTTTGCATTTGGAGGACTCTTTGTTACCTTTATCACAGGTACAGCCATGGGGTTTGCTTTTTGTTTTCCTAGTTGTCATTTATGTTATTAATGTTCCTCACATGGGAAGGATTGGCAATACCAGGATTTTTCCTGTACCCACTGAGATGCTTGTCCCTTAGTGTGCCACTGTGATAAATTATAGTGTTTGGATTTTCCTTATTATTTTATTTTTTAAACAAGGCTTTACTCTGTAGCCTAGGCTAGCCTTAACCTCACTTTGGAGCCCCAGCTGAGGTTTTCCTACCTTAGCTTTCTGAATGTTGGGATTCTGTGTCTTGCTAGGAGTTTTGTTTTGAGAATGTCAGATTACATATGTTTTAAAGGTAACTTCAGCTTCACCTAGGTACCTTCTTCTGGTCATGCTGGTAGCTTAGTGTTTTCAGTATTGTGGCTAGAGTGTCCTTGTTAGACTTTGAAACACAGATATTTTCACAGCCTGTGTTGGTAAAGTTTTGCTCGGAACTTCTGTTTCATCTTTTATGAAGTCCCATTCTTTTTATAATGTTATATCCCTGGTTATATAGCTTCTTTATTTCTAGTGTATTTATATCTTCCTCTTCTTGACTGCTGAAAGCATTTTTTTTCTTATAAATAGTTTACTTGAAACTTAATTGATCTTTTCTGTTGTAGTTTTCCCTTCTCCTTCTTTCCTTAGTTTTGTAGGGCTGCTAGCCTAGAATTTGAAGCAGTCTCCCCAGTGCACCTGCTCAGTCCTGGATCACATGACTTATTTCTTTCCCCTTTCTTTCCTGAGGTTATCCTGGGACTCTTACTAATTTCCTATTGTCTTCACTTAGCTCATTTATTTCTATTCATTGAGCGATCACCCTGAAAGTTTTCATTTCAGTTAAAAAGTTTTATTTAAAAATAAAATACTTTATGTATAATATAATACAAGATAGAAAAAGCCTGAATTTCTTACATATACAGTCAAAGAAATTGAATAAACAAATTCATATATCAGCTACTGGAAAGAAACAGAATTGCATAACTGTGCCTGATCTATAGCAGGTAGCCAGGTAGTGTGGGCTGTGGCTGCTGCCCATGTTAGATCTTTCTGAAAACCCTGTCTCTTGTAGGTGCCATAACATAATGTCCACCTAGTAATGGTCTTGTGTGGAAAAGTGGAGTTCTTTTACTTTGAAAGTAACAGCATTTCTGAATCTTAGGAAGGACCTGATCTAGTGAATATGAATGAATCAGACTTTAACAACCTTTTTTACATTTTAGTTTGTGTGGCTATGTGCATGTACAGTCATTCATGTAGGTCAGAGGAGAGCTTGAGGTAGTCAGTCATTTGTGTTCTTCTACTGTGTGGGTTTCAGGACCCAACTAAAGGGGTCAGGTGTGAGGGCAAGCATACTTACATTCAGAGGCAGCTCACAGACCCTGAGATTGCATTTTAAAAGATAAACCAGTTCCATTTTCTGTTGCAGCTTACTTAATAGAAACAGTAGTGAGTTATAGTTTGCAAATGTCTTTTTACACCCCCCCCCCCCAAGGTCAGATACTTCATACTGATGTGGTTTATTTGCACTGTGGACAAGGCTTCCGAGAGGCAGAGAAGATCAAGAGGCTTTTGCTGCATTTCAAGTAAGAAAATAAGTAGCCTGTTGAGTAGTTTAGTGGCTCAGCCAGTTCTAGGCACTTTTGAAGCTCCTAATTTGGAGTGTGGGGTTAAGGTGAACACCTGGGGAGAAAGAAGGAACCTTGTGCACAATGCTGGGGGGAATAGCTGGAGAACTCACACACGGAGACTGTGGTGGAATACTTTTTCCTCTCTCAGCCCTCTGTCAAGTAGAGGTGATGATGTGGTACCTGGGAGATCCTCCCTACCCACTCCCTCCTTTCATTCTTCCCTGAAGAAGGGCTGTTATAGTAGTTAATAGGAACTGCAGAAACCGTATCATTTAGTTGTGTATCTTTATTATGGTTTGGAATGAGCCTGAGTTTACTTGTTTACTTTGGCTCTTTGTAGATGAGAAGCTGCCTGACTGTTCTTAAGATGACTGTTAACTATTTTTCTGTGCTTCACCCCCACCCCACCCCCACACCTCCTTCCTACCAAATGCAGGGGGCTGTGTACTCTAGAGCCGAGGAGAGGTTGCATGGATACAAGAGAGAGGAAGAGCTGTGTCTCCCACTTGTGCATTCTGTGTGCTGTCTCTGGTTGACCTCAGAGTATGCCTGGGACTCATCCAGGTTCTCATTCTGTTTTCCCTTGAAGCTGCAGCACAGTGGTGATTGGAAATGGAACTGCCTGCCGGGAAACTGAAGCTTACTTTGCTGACCTGATAATGAAAAATTACTTTGCACCACTGGATGTTGTTTACTGGTAAGGACAGTGGGAAGACTTGTTTTCTTGGAGTGTATAGGAGCTTCTCAGGCTCCTTTTGTGATGAGTCTTCCTTTCCTTCTTGAAAATCTATGTTTTGTGTGCCTCCCTAACTGCCTCTGTCTGTTAACAAGAATGTCGCAGGAGTGAGTAGAGCAGGGTGGATGCTCTCACGGTGGCAGCTCTCGGAGTTCAGTTTGCTCCATGGAATCTCCCGGACTGTACTTGATATGAGGGCTCTAGTTAGGTATTAACTAATCAGTATGGTGGAATACCAAGTTAGCAACCACTGACTGTGAATAACTTACCCTTCTTCTGCCAGACGTTTAAGCCAATGAACCGTTGTACTCTGGAACTGAGAGCCAACTATATGTCTTCCCTATTCTCAAAGCTGTATGTGGGCACCAGGACTTTTGAGAAGCTATTTGAACCCTTGGTCATGGCTGATTATGTTTATTACAGCTAGTTTAATTCTTACATTATCTTCTCTCATCTTATCTTAATCTTATCATAGTTTGATGTAATATCTCAGGAATAGTTGTGATGATTATGTATGCACATCTAGGAATCATTTAAAGAATGCTGTTGGAAGTGGTGGCATATCCTAGCACTCAGGAGGCTAATGCAGGAGGATATCTGCATGTTGAGGGAAGCTTGAAGTTACACAGTAAGACCCTGCCTCAAAAATATCAAAAGAAAAGTACTGTGTCTGATCTAAATGTGCTCATGGAGCGTGTCTTTAATAAGCTTTAGATAATATATAATATTAGAAAAAATGAACCATGATGGCATGAAAATCTGGATTTGTTAAACTTGATGGAATAAAAATGACTGATCTTTAAACAGCCATAATTAAAGACAAGTCCTGTGTAGAAGCCCTTTGGTATTTGTAGTGGTTGAGATGTGAAGTACTAGAAGTGAGAGGGCACATGGATCTGCAGTGCTGTGTTCCAGAGAGACTGTAGGAATGTACAGCTCCGTTGGACTGTAGAATGCCTGTGCCTGACTCACAGTCTGTGTCTTCCAGTCCCTCTGCAGAAGATCCAGAAACTGTTGTGTACAGGTTTTAGTCTCCGTATGGTGAGTGAGTTGTGGTCTCTCTTCCTGTAGCTGAGCCATCATTCTAGCTCTCATTCTAATGTGTTTTGTTGTAGAGCGTTAGCCGCAGTGTGCTTGTCTATTTGCTCAAATCTATTTGCTAGCACTTTACCATGGACTTGTGAAGTCTTAAGTGTTGTAGAGCGAGATCTAATCAGAACTTACAGTGACTGCATTAGGAAAATCAGTGTTTGATTTCATTTGTTGTCATTGGTCAGTTTAAAATGTCTGAAGACACCACTTCTTCACCTCATGTGACCTTCCATTTTCCATTCTCCATGCTTTCTTTCTCTGTCTGTCATTCTATGTACTTTCTCTTATGTATTTCTGTAATCTTGTCAATCTGCTTTTAAACCTTTTCAGACCATCATAATGAAGCTTCTAGTACATTCCTTGTCCACTTCGGACAGCTTTTCGTCTTGATTTGATGCTGTAAGTTAGGATGTTCTGTGACTTATATCACACCTGTGACTTATATCACAGCCATTCACCTTCTTTCTAGTGTCTCTATTCCTACCCTTGAAACACTTTGTAAACTCTCGAACTTCTCCATACCCTGGGAAAAAAATCATCCAGGCTTTCAATCATAACTACAAAGGAGAGAAAATTGTAAACCGATCCAAGTGGTAGAGCTCACCTGGGATTTAGTCAGTCCCTTACACTTAAAGTTGAAAGTGTTACTGAAAATGCATGCACTATTGTAGACTTCATTATACTTTATGATAGAATGATGTGGTTTCAGTTTTCTGGAAAATAGTTGACACTTGTTTTTTAATATCTCAATATTTGTTTCCTTTCATGCTATATTGCCACAATTATTTTCTAATCTTATACTACTGTGTTTTTTGGCAAAAGATACCGTTTTCCTCTTTATAATAGTGGTAAAATGTACAAATAGCTTAGCCCTTAGGAGACGTTGTGTTCACATATATGTAGCAAATGTCTGCTTCATTGACATGCCCTTAAATCAGGGGCTTGTGTTCTGGGGTTCATGATCATGTCTGTAAGCTCATCATTTATAGGTTTCCCTTGGTAAACCTAAGGGGTGGGTGTGTATGTGTGTGTGTGATGCAGAATATGTGCACACTCATGTGCACACATGTCAAAGTCAGAAGCCCATGGTAAGGGTCTTCCCCTGTCTCTCTCTCTCTCTCTCTCTCTCTCTCTCTCTCTCTCTCTCTCTCT